GGAAGAGGTTCAGAAGGAGGTGTAGAAGCTTTTGATGCCATTTTGAGACCCAAGCCGCCAAGGGTCTCTCTAAGCAAAGACTGTCGTCCGGCTTCTGCTTGCTCGATCTGTCCTGCTGCAAGAAGAATAGAAAATCGTGCAGCGGCTGCGATATTACAGGGATTGTTGACTGGATACTCCAAGTGTATATGCCAAAGAGCGGCCTTTCCCTTTCCAACGGTGCACATTACTGCTGCGACCATTCCTGGGCGTTCTTCATCTTCATAGTAGGCCAAGGGTGTCACCCCGCCCACTGAAGAGGGTATTACACATTCCCCACCCCCGTTATAATACAATCCATGATATTTTTGGTCGGTCGGTAGTCGAGCAGTGACTGTCCGGGCTCCATCTTCACTATTATATTGGAAGCCTGGATAAGTGCAACCTCGAGATGTACCAGGGAAGAAACGAAGAGGTCTATCCCCTTGCACCTCAAGATCTGTTCCGATTTCCCATTCAACTCGTGCTGATGCAAAATATGCCCCAGCGCAAATGCCTAGATAAGATCCACCCTGCCGAACATAGTCAAGGATGCGGGGTATGGCTTTATCTAGAGCGGATAAATATGGCAGATCGCGACCACCTGGAATAACCAAGAGTGCACAAGATGCAGTCCAAGGTTCTGAGACTAGAGCCTTTGGGGCAATGGTCTGCACGACGAAATTTGGTTGTAGAAGCGATTTGAGACTTGCGACAGTATGGGAAAGCGACACTTGTGAGACGCCGGGTCCATCGTAGACTAAAACGTTCATGTTTGACCAAGGGTTTTGCAATGGACGAAGGTCAAGTTTCGCGGAGTGGCTAAAACACAGCTTTTGAGTTGCCGACCCAGAGTGTTTTGAAACCCTCCTAATGATCTTTAGAGCTCGTTTCAAACCTGCCCTACTGCAACCCACTACATGCATCAGGTCTGAACATAAGCGTGCTTTGAGCACCACATGTTCCCTCTTGCAGTCGCCAAAGTCGAGGGCGCTGAAAGAGTTTAGGATGGAGGGAAAGGTATGTCCAAGTCATATCTCGTTTGATAGTTTTAATCAGACTTCAACACGTCTAGATAGCGATGGTGACAGGGGCTGCACGCGGTCTAGGTCAGCAAATTCAACTACATCAGCTTGCCTAAGGATTCCCGCCACCTCAGGCAACATGTTTTGCCAGGCTTTTGTCGAAGCGTGCGTTGATTATACTGCTCATCTGCAAATGATAACTAAAGTAAAGTTTAGAGGATGTAGTTCTGTCGCTGTTGTGGATCTCAAGCAGGAGGGCGCCCAAGACTCTGCTCACCACCGAGTCAGAAAATATGGTGAAATCTGTATCACCTTTTCAACTTTGAAATATAATTTATGGGC